TAGTTGGGAAAAAAACACTATATTTCTATATTTAGCGTAAAAACAAACTCTCTTGTATTAGCCTTATATGGCACAGTAATTATACGTATCTCTTTGGCAGAGATCATCCCGATTTAGTATTTGATTTTACCGATACACGTGTATTCTATAGGTGATTTGGGTCAAGGATGTTCTCTAAAACATTATAGTGTGCCGAAATTCTCAGTGAACTATCGTACCGGAGACTAAGTCGTCTTTATATAAAAAAGTCAAAATAATTAAATTGACATTTATATAACTATTAAAACATTTTTTTTTTTAGGATGATAAAAATAGTCATGACATAACTTTAAATCTTTGGAATTTTCGTCAAACCGAAATATTGTTCCTCGATATTCATATTAGCATATAAGAATGTAGTAAAAGATTGTCTTATAAGTAGATCGTGCATATGGTAGATAAACTAAAATGTATAAATTGAGAATTTTAAAATTTAATAAGCTACCCATTTCGACTTTTGTTGAATATGAAAAAAAAGAATAAGTACTGCCAAAGAATCCTTTCTATCCTGTAATAATTAATATATCTAAGAACATTATTAAATCTTTTCGCTTTTCATCTGATTAGTTTAAAGGTGGGTTTAAATTTCTTCGTCGTAGCCTTGATTCTGCCTATTGCCATATAAATATGTGTTACGCAGTGGGAAAATCAGTTTCTAGACTTAAATTTAAATTTACCTAACTCATCCCTTGAAAATCTGACCAGTAACTTATAATACGTAATTGAACTAGTTTTCTTAACGTTCCATTTACTCATTATTCCTACCAAACTGATATTTGGTGATGCACTGACAATCACATAATTAAAGAGGGTTATAGTATGTTACCAAAACTACTACTGTAGAAACTAGTGTACACATATGATTGCACGTCATTTATCAAATATTCCGGGACTAAATCCCATAAGTAACAATCATGAAAGTTCGCTTACCATTGTAAAAGTAATTTTTCTTCTTTTTCATCCATTAGTTCTTTTATATCTTGATTATGTTGCTGGCTGATATGCACAATTCTTTCAAATCTCGACGAGAAGAAAGTTTAAAATAATCTCTTAATTTAATTAGATTGAATCGACTTTGAGGCATCACCAAATTTAAAAATTTCGTAAACCTCCGCATGCTTTACGATTACTTTGAAAATTTTAAAAATTTTAAAAAATTGCGAAAATCTCCATATTTGATTATACATGCTCGCAAACTTGCACTAGGTAACGTTGTTCAGTAGATTATTCCGGTTCTAATGGTAGTTAAATCATCAAAATTGGCCCAGTACTTCTGAGATATCATAATCACAAGACTTGTGAAATTTTTTAATTTTTACGCAAAATTGCAAATCTTACGATTACAATATCTCAGCGATTAATCTGCTGAACAACGACCTAGTGCAAGTTTGCAAAGTTGCATAATAAAATTTGGAGATTTTGCAATTTTTTAAAGCTTTCGTAAGTTTTCGTAGTAATCGTAAAAAATGCAGAAGTTTATGGTATTTTAAATTTGGTGATGTCCAATCCATTAGTTGCTGTAGTATATATCAATATTCACAGATGACTCAGGCTACAAAGCGTTTTGGCCGCGTGAACATATTGCATAATTAACTATGTGATACGTATTCACAGATCCCTAAAGAAAATTGGGTAGCAAAACATTAAGTATTACTAAGGTATTTTCTACATTGGAGTCTATCATTACAATAGATAACCTTTTTGATACCTTAAAATATAATTAAAATTATAATCAGCCTTAATTATAAATCTTGATTCTGGTATGATCGAAAATTTAAAGATCAGCTGTTGATGAATAAAAAATGTCTAGAAAAATTATTACCTGTAGAATAAATGGTGGCTGAAATTACTTCTCGTAAATGAAAAAAGATAATACCCCTAAGCGTTCAAAGGTTATTACATAACACCTTTATGAAGTTATATATATATATATATTAGCAAGGATGAGACAATGTTATAAACAAAATATTACATATTGAACTTCGTACTTCCTGCATAAACGCTTTTGAAGGAAGAAAAACACTAAAATAATATTAAATATTTAATGTATCGAAACGATTAGAATAACGAAAACACTAGATTTAATTTTACTGTATTTGAAAAATTATAGATCTTATACCTTATATACCTTACTGTCTGCACAAGTAAATCTACCTTCTTTTCTGCTGATAAACTAATCATCGTTATTAATCGTGTATAAATATAAATATAAGTATATTTATATTGTACCTTATATCAATTAAATGTCTATTATTAAAGGATGCATATAAATTTGTACTGTATATCAATTAAATATCTACTATTAAAAGATACATATAAATTATACTGTATATATAAATTATATTGTATATCTTTTAATTGTACATTATTAAAGGATACATATAAATAGTACTGTATAATTTGCACGCTATTAAGATATTAGAGGGTGGATCAATTTAATCATTTGTTGCTGCCCTAAATTTAATAATCTATATAATAAAAAAAATACAATTATAATCATCCGGTGAATTGATGAAATTGATGAATTAATCTAAAAAATTTAGTCATCAAATCCAAGTATTTCAACCCCAAATTTATAGTAATTTTATTTCTAAATTATATTGTATTGGTTAATTTATCATAATGTTAAACCACGAAAAAAGTTTTTTGAACCTCTGATTTATATAGATAACGCGTTTTACTCATATTTATACTGCTAGCCAATTTTGACGCACCTCTTTGGCATGCACCATAACCTGGGATATTGATTAGTACAGTCAAAAAATCATCAGTATTACATATTTGTAGTCGAATTTCTCAGATTTTGGGGCTTTTCATAAATTTGCCGTAACTCAAATTAGGACGAATAATTTCTTCTATAGTTTAGTTTAATAACACGAAAAAAGCACAATGTTAGCACCCACTATAATTCTAAAAGAAGTATTATATAAGCCTTCAACCTCATATTCGTCATAAATTGAAACTTCTTTTATAAAAATTTCAACAAACTTTTATAATAAAGTACAATTCTATTTCAGTTAATTCTGGTTACACTGGTTACACATTTTATATCAATTAATGGTTTCACAGTACTATACAGTTACTATTTGTTACACAAATTTTTATTAAAAGTCTTAAATACTTTAAATTTATATTTTCAGATATGATCACTACCAAAAACTTGAATAATTAGGGATTTCATTTTCATTCAAGCGTTATTAAAAAAAAAAATTTGTAAATCATTAAAATTTAACATAGAGTTGTAACTTAAAAGATTAGTTTAATATATATCATAAATACTAATACATTAAATTTTTAAAAAGTTACTTTATTATCATCATGTAAACTAAAGTCGCAATCAATAAATCATGTATTTATAAAGATTTTTTTTATATAAAAAGAGTTATTATAGTAGAATATTAGTTCTTTCAACTTAAATTAGAATTTCTAATAAATATTATTGATGCATATCTAGCAAACAGGATTTGATACGAAAGATGTGCAATAAATGCTCACGTATGACACACTTTAAATTTAGTAAGTAGTATAGAACCTAGTCTGGTAAATATAAAAGTCGACACGCATGTATCGCTTTAAACTACGTTTTACATTGATCATATTGACAAATTGGTTTGTCCATTACGTCTTTATTAGGGTTTTAAGTTTTTCTGCAATATATATGTCTATGCCATTATCACGTGATCATCTAAAAATAATTACTTAATAAGCCGCTTAGCCTATTTTAAACATAATAAAACCTATTCATCCACAACCTTTTAAATAATTGGAGACTCCTGTACTGTTATGAGGCCCGCTTTCAATACAGTTTAATTTAGCAAAACTAATAATATGTTACATATTGCTATCTCTTTCGCATAGAAATTATCTTCAAAGTCTTTATATTATATAAATATTATATAAAGCGCAGATAGATTCTTCAAGATACAGAACAAGTGAAGCTTACATAAATTGTCCACTTTTGATAATTTTATGCAGTGATATTCCATTTACATTGTATAACATTTTAGTTTGTAAATGGGAATTTGTTAAATTAGACCTTTATTTAGATCCCTAAACTTAATTCCGGTCTAAACTATTTGTCTTAGATTACATAATTGCTTATATGTTGAAAACTCAATTTGGGTGCTTAAATAAAAGGTAATTTGATCAACCTAATTGATCAGAATTTTTTTAATTAAAATTTTTTTTTTAAAAAAAAACTTTTAACAATAAGGTTTAAAAAAAATTTTTAGTCAATAGGCAAATAAATACGCAAGGACTGGTCACAGGTAGAAATTGTTATTATATGACTACTCCAAATTTTTAAAAGTTTACCCGGATAATCTTAGTAATTTAACAATATTCAAATGAAAATTTCTCAATAGGTCTAATTTTTAGTACGTACATCCCTTTTTAATGAGTACTTGCTTTTTTAAACTAAACTCTTTCTGGGGACGCTAATAATAATATATCATCCTAAACATAATGCATTGGGTTTATATTATTAACTTGTACTGTTTTCGAAAATGGTTAAAGTTTCAAATTACGTTAGAGTTAAATAGGAAAATGTGGCTTCTGCGCGAGACTAATTTTTTTTTTTTTGAGTTTAGTATTTTGGATTTATATTTGATAAGAAAGGGCGTTACTCAGAGTTTACCAATAAGTGAAATAAGACAATATATACTATTAATTTGAATGCATATTTTATTAGTTGCAACTACATACGAAGATAGTAAATACTTTAAGTATAAATTTTTTATATTATATATCTTATTTGCTTAATACGTTTTCAATACTTAAAAGCGCATATTTTATAATAACTAACTTAAATTCATAGTAGACATTCTTAAATTCATAATAGTTTTTCTTAAATTTTATAAGAATTATTTTTAAATTTTATAATGCTATTCTTAAGTTTTATAATAATTTATACACTGTAGACATATTAATGTCAAATAATAATACCGGTTTGTACCAATATCTTAAAGATGAGAACCGTCAATAATCCGAATACGTAATCTTTGATCATTGAAAATTCTTGCCGCATTGTTAGCGACATCCCTAAATGAATCCACCAAATCCGGCTCGTTTATCCTTAATTCTTGCCAAATATTACTCATATGTCTCGATAAGGCCGCTCTTCCGATACGCAAGCCGATAGACGAAATACACAACCGTACTTCTCTTCTAAATAATATGAAGCAATTTGGAGTAACCGTTGAACCGTCTCGAATACCTAAGACTTGATTAACATTTGGAACTTTGAAAGTCACAAATGTGTGCATGTACTTAAGATAATAACATCCTAAATTGTTTTTAACAAATTCGAGTGTAATATCTTCATAAGTCGAAGTAGCCAAGACTCTATAATAGATATATCCTTGAAGTGCCGTCATTTTGGTATTGACTGACTTCTTTGGAATTAAATTTCTGGATTGAGTTATCAAGATAAAAGAATCTCTTTATATAAAGAATTAAAATACATGTTCGGTAATATTGTAAAACATTTTTTTGTAGAGTACAATCAAACGTGCAACGATTGGAAACTTTATCACATTGTACTAATTTTTTAAAGTTTGTTGGTTTCAGATGCATAGAACAAAGTCGTCGAACAACAATGATAATATATATTTTTTATATAAAGTCTCCTTACTTCTCAATCAAAATTGGAAAAGAAAACCAAATTGTAGCTGTTTACAAAAAGGTGAATGAATGCAGGTCACACATCACAAGAATTTGCAATATCTTCAGACTTCTAAAATTTCAAGATTGAACTAATAAGATTCTTAATTTACACATTTAGTGATTGTACCCGGGCAGAAATTGCTATCATATGGTTGCCCAAAATCTACAATGACTTACCCCGGATAACTCGGGTAATTTAACTAGAATAAATATTTTCTCGTGTACAATCTCTACACATGAACTTATGGGAATAAGTAATGATCAGTATTGTGAAATTAATTTGTAAATAAATATCTTTATAGCGAAGCCAAATATAGTACCTTGGTAACGCGCATTACAAAACGATTTGGATAAGATAACATACTGTACACACCTCACTCATCGAAGGTTTATAATTTATGCTATTATTTATACTTTACTAGATAAAATCTATATCTATTTCATGATTGGCCAGTCATTTACACCTATTTTTGGACTGGATGATCATCAATTTACTTAACGTTAACCAATAAGCTGTCTTTATTTTTTGTACCGCATTAGAAAATTATTTTAACCTACAGACATTTACAGTAACTTGCAACTGTGATTTTCTACTGTTGATTCGCAACAGTGATTTTGCACTAACTTACAACTCAATTTATAGATACAGCTTACAGCTACGGTTAGAATCATCAGTAATTTTTTTTAATACATATAAATTTAAATGTTTAGTTTACAAGTTATTAAATTGCTGCGCGTATAGTTTTAATTAAATAGAAAAGGAGTGTTCTGAAATTTTTCAAATGATTTATTTTATAATATTAAACAACATAAATATAAATAGAAACCTCTTTCATTGGAAGTTAGTACGCTGCTATGATAATAAATTTTATTTTACTCTATAGCTTTTTAAAGTTTGTAATTTCTTATATTTTTAACTTTCTCTGCATGATTTTTTTTTTCTAAACTTCTTTGTAGATTTTCCCCTTTTCTATTGAATAACATCATATCGAGCAATTTACTATGATAATGCTTGACAAATAATTCGAGTTATTGAAAATAATAAAGGTTTTGGTAGCTAACGTAATCATCGCAAAAATTCAGTAAGTACAATTGTTGTAAACCATCGGTTAACACCGCACCGTCATTGTATGCTACGCAGCCTGGGCCCTTCGGGGTAAGAAGCTGAAATATTGGATTTACAGCCAGATAATGAATTATTTTACAAATAAGTATATATTATTGACTGGCTCATGTTCAAATACTATATTATTTATTATACTGTATTAAACCAGAATTATTACTCATAAAATCACGACTAGTGATAAGTTTCACGGGCTGCTAAATTACAATAGGCCAATAACAACGGATCTCTTTTACTTTGTCAATTATACAGCTCTAATTACGTATTTATCGATAACATTATATAAACAGTAGAACTTTATAAATTATACTTCCCAGAAAATTTTGTATAAAGTTTTTATTAAACTGTGATTATTCAACTTTCAATATATATATATATATATATATTGATTATTTGTACAAGATTCATATAGAACGATATTATTTGTGCTTTATAATTTGTTATAGTATTAGTATGTAGCAGAATGATCATGTGCACGTAGTACTTGTATACGTATATATTACGTTATATCGATAAACATAAAATTTACTTTAGTTCATAAACATTCAATAATAAATATGATGGGTTGTTTAAATGGAATTTATAATAGAAATTATAACCTTGATTACAAAGTATATATGTCATTGAATAATTTGACCATTTAAATGATAAAACGAGCTTGGCGTATTAGCATGATCGTTATCCTCTAATATAAATTTAAAAAAAAATTGAAACTTGAAATTGACGCATTTGTTACTATACAATTTCAAAGCCTTTTGTTTTTATTCTTGTATAGTGCTAAAAAAGATATCGGAATCTTATCTCCGATTGATAAAGGGTGGTAAAGAAAAAATAAAGATCAGAAAAAAAAACCCAGATCAAGAAAAAAGTAAGATCTACATATAATAAAGTAGTTCCAAGTCTTGAGTTCATTGAGATTGGCCTGATGCAGAATAAATATATAAGTATCTGCATTGCGTTAAACTCTGGACTTAAGCAAAAAATGGTTGTGGCGTATTTTATGAATATATACGTACGTACGTACGTACACTACGCACGTTCACGAATAAATGATCTACTTTGTAATACAAAGACATTCGAGAAATGTTTACATTCAGTACATGTAAGTATTATACCATTAAAAATTTTTTTAATTTTTATATTAAACAGTACAATAAAAAATTTAGTCCATCCAATAGATTTGATTCAATAAAATTTATTCAACAAAATTTATAGGTAATGATATTTCAACATTAATTAGTTTAAAAATTAAGTTATAAATATAAATATAACTTTGATAACACTTTTTTTAAAAAAAATTCCATCAAGTTAAACCTATAAGCTTGGACTAATGAATAATTTACTAATCAAACTTCTATAGATGGGATAATAATGTTTACAAATATGTTTTGATTAAATTTTAAATATATATTAGTTTATTTTAATTGATTTACGCTACAATTTACACGTGTATAATTTTGCATATAATCACGCGCACACGTGAATTCTGGTGTTACATACTATGCAATATCAGAACTTACTTATAAAAAGTATTATTAATTTTATGATCGACTATAAAGAAGATCAAGTTTTGATCTATCTCTTTATTAAATAGAATGATGAGGTTATCAATATATTTTTATTTTGGAAATACTATTTAAACGATTAGACGAGTCGTTTACATTTTACATAGATATGGTCAATGTGGAAATCTTCAGATCCTCTAGATCTACTGCCCTAAATCTGGTACGCATGATTCCCCACATTGTCCGATAATCTCAGATAAGTATGCACTATTTTTAATTCTATTAACTTTTTGGATGCGTATTGACAATTATCGTATATCGTCTTGAAAAACTCTAACCACTATACTTAAATTCCTTTTCTTCTTTGCACCAATTCGTAAAAATTGTTCATGACTAGAGCAAAATTGCACATGTTTCTATGTTGCATTACCACATTAATTAATTCAATCCTAATAAATATAACACGAACTTTCTAAGAAAATATAATAAAATGAATCTCATCACTATTATGTAACACAAATAATGAGATTTAAATGTGATAAAACAAGTTAAAACATTAATGTATAGTGAAACCTCTCTAAATCACTTTTTCCTATTGTTCTCTAACTGCATGTTGTCTAAAATTTGAACCCTTAAAATGTATTTAAAGAGGTCTCTGGCTGCAGTCAATTAGTAATATAAATTATTAAAAAACTTATTGCTAAAAATAATAATTGATGTAAGAAAATTTTAACTATTAAGCGAATAACTTTTAATATATAAAAATAAATATAATTATACTACATGAATATATAATTATAGTTAACGTTCCAAAACCGATCCTGTAAATCAGATAAAATATTCATAACAAAGTCTGTTTCTGCTATATGAATCAAATAGTTTATAATGATTTCAAATCTGATTTATAAGATATTGGTCATGCATCAACAAATAACGTGAAATTTGTTTGGTTGAACTAATTTCACATTATTTATCAACGTATGATCCAATATCAATGTTTTCGTGTAACTATGATCATGGCTTAAAAAAATCATTACGTAGCCTCATACGTCATAAGAAGTATAAACGATTAGAGATCGATTAAAAATTTTTTTTTTAAATCGCTTTGAAAATTCTTTTTTTTTTCACACTTGTTTGTGCATTTATTTGTCACTCTTTTTATATTTTAATAAAGTTGTATGTTTGGTTTTAGAGTCTTACCTTTTTATAGAAGTTCAAATTATCTGAAAACTTTTTTTTTGTACTTTTGTTAATTCTGAATAAGGTTATACGTTGGTTTCAGTGGCTTAGTCTTTACTAGAAGTTTCATCTTGTGCTGGGTGGTTACAATTTTGCTGTCTTTTGCTGTATAAAATATATTTATAGTCTGTAATTAGTCAAAAATGACAAAGTCAAGCAAAAAAATTTCCCATGTTAGCATCAAGGTTTAAATTTTTTTTCTTTTTTTTTTGTAAGGTTATTTAAGGAAGTAGATGTTGACTATTTAAAATCTTATAGACTTTAAGTACATCAAACCTTCAGCAGAAGACTTAAAAGCTTTTTATAAAAGTTCTAAAGTAGAAGCAATGCAAGTATGGTAAAGATTTTCCATAGTAATGTAGAGCATGAAGGAAAGATTGAGGATGTTGGTTCTAAAGCAGTCTTAGAAGACCAGTTATATAAATTTGTATGTGTGATGAAATATAAGGATAGTAATAAGTACTGTACATGGTTACAATTTGGCATTATTTTAATAAACATTCAGTGTTAGAGAAATTTGTAGATATATTAAATCCAATAGTTTTTTATAACCTGAATACTATTATTAATAGAAAATTGAAAACATTATCTTCAGTAAGTTTGGGTGAATGAAATAGTGCTGATGGTTTTACAATAAATAAAGTTGATCAAGTCTTGAAACACCCAACCATGGACTACTGTGTTGTATATTTTTTACAATGCCATATTATTGGCTTTATATGGTGGTGAATATTAAAGCCTTAAGATCAACAACTTTATTAAAATGTTTAATAATAGTATAGATGTTAAGTTATATAAGTTAAAAGTAAATCAAAGAAGTTTGAATAATCATGATAGACAAGCC